TTAAACTAGGGCTCTAACTATGGCACTCTTGACACTTTGGCCCAGAAAATTCTTTGCTTTGTGCAAGTGTTAATGAGTTTGGTAAGAGAGGGGACCTGTCTTGTGCATTTTAGGATTCCAGCAGCATCCCTCTCCCTGATCACTAGGTTCCAGGAGCACTTCTTTCCATTTGTGACATCTGAAATGCCTCCAGACACTCATTGCTTAGTATCTCCCAGATAGCAAAATTTTCCTTGATTGCCAACCACTACTAGAAACTGAAAGAGATTATATTATTCTTTATTCAAAACCCTTCGATGTCTTCCCATCATACTTGCAAGAAGAACATGAAGTCCTTCCTATGATCTACGAGGCTCTCAATGAACTGGCCTTTATTCCTTCCTGATTTCATTTCCTTCCCCTGTCGTTCATTCTACCCCAGCCACTGGGCTTCCCAGCTATTTCCCTAGTGTGCCAAGCACTCTTCTTCTAGGATCTTTGCGTCTTTGGTTTCTTTCATGCAGAATGTTCCTCTCCAGGCCACTTGCAATGGCCTGATTCCCACTCTTTTTAGTCTTCACTTACAGGTCACTTCTCTGATTGAAAATAGCACTCCAATAACTCTCTGTTACAATAGAGTTGTTTAGTTTTCTTCACCACATTTATAGCTACCTGGCATGTTGCCTATTTTTTTCTTCATGTTCTCATTGTCACCCCTACTCCAATGTGAACTACAAAAGGACAGGATAATGATTATTTTATCAACCATTGCATTGGCAGTATGCAGAAGAATATCTGATGACTAACAGTCATTCAATATTTATTTACTTTAAAATTAGTGCTTGAGATGATTCTGTACATTATGACTATTTGAAGATTGTTAATGAAAAGGATATCATTAAAATATTTAAGTTTTATGAAAATATTACACCTTACACTACTTCATAGTCCTATATATATTACTGTATTTACACATCATGTGTGCCAGCTGCTTTTTCAGATTAAGGAAACAGAAACGTACAGGGGTGAAGTGAGTTGCAAATAATGTCATGTGAGGTTTCACACAGATCATCTGGGAAGCGTAGGTGTACAGACTCTCATTCCAGTGCTCTAATCCACACTGTGTTGCTTTTGTTCAATATTGTTTTTGTTTTGCCTATACTATTGTTCCAGAAGAGTCTCATTCCACCTCCTGATTGCGTTCTCTTTGTTTACTATTGAACTTAATGTAAAAATGAGAAATTCGCTAGACTATTACTTTCAAGTGAGGAAAGTCGCATCAAGAATGATGACATCAGGGCTGGGGATATAGCTTAAAGGCATAAGCGCCTGCCTGGCAAGCGCAAGGTTGTGAGTTGGATTCCTGGTACTGCAAAAAAAAAAAAAAAAAAAAAAAGAATGATGACATCAGTATATGAGGATATCTCTCACTCATGTTCATATTCCTACTTGTACTTAATGCAGAAACCACATCTTCAGATCTTCACATTCTGAACTTCAGAGTCCTTTGACTTTCAGTTCCTCTGTAATGACTGTTTCATCTTCCAAAATCTTATTTACTGTTCCTTTGAAATGATTCTTCTTTTTCCCCTTTGTTTGTCTATCACATTGTCACTATTCTATTACTGTATTTTATTGATCCCTAGGAGGAATATAAAATCATTTCATTTTATTTCCTTAGCCTCAGGTTTTCCCTTCTCCAAATCTTCCATTTGGAGAAGGGAATTCAGAATCAAGGATGATATTTTTAAGTAATCAGTCATTTCATTCCCAGTGTAAAAAATGATGTCTTTAAACTCTTTAGTTGGACGCCTGAGGTGCTGTACAATAATCAACCCAATAATTCGCCCAAGCAGCCTGTCAGATGTCTATCTGAAGAAGGTGTTCGTCATTAGAAACAAGAGAATGATAAATTATACATAGTAATTAAAAAAGGAACAGTAGATAACCACAGGTACAAATCCAGTACCTTTAAAGGGCTCAGACGAGAGTGAGAGTGGGCTCAATCCCTGGGAGTGCCTGCCAAGGCTATACAGGTGCTCTTTTTGAGAAAATGGGGCATACAGTGAGGTCATGAGCCAAGGTAAGTTGTGTGTTCATAGGATGAGTCCTTCCCTGTATTGACCCAGTTCAGGTCTCTTGCTAGAGAAATGTCAGGAACGAGGTTGACTATGGCCTTCCTTGGCTAAGCCATAAAGTATGTAGGCAAACAGTGTGCAGGGATCTTATCTAGAAGTGCAGTGTGCTATCCATTTTCTGTACAAAGCCACTGTGTGTGTGTGTGTTTGTGTGTGTGTGTGTGTGTTGCTGTGGATGAAATTCAGGGTCTTATGCATGATAAATATGCCCTAACACTGAGCTACATCTCCAGCCCAAGGATTTTTACCTATTACTGCCTCAAGTCTAGCATCATCTGTTACAGTTTGCAGCTATGGAATGTATTAATAAATAACTCAAAAGACTGAAGATTAATATCTTTTTGGTGTTTATAAAATTGGCTCGCAGCGAGATACAATTTTGCCTTCAATGGAGCATTTGGCCATATCCGAAGACACAAGGTTGTCATGACTTGGGACGGGGCCAGTGGCATCTGGGTGTTACAGGACAAGGGTCCTGCTGATGGCCTTACAGCGCACAGGGTGGGCCGTATAGCAAATAATTTTCTAGTCCCAAATGTTCAGAATGTGAAGGTGACTGAAAATCCTTGGTTATAAAAGAACACTTCAAGCGTCTTTGTATTTCTTATCCAATGGTGAGGAATACAAATCTAATAGGTAGAAAAAGGCATCGACTTTGCCAGCGTATTTACTCTAAGGAATTAGATAAGTAACATGATATCTCACTGGCTTTGGCATGTGGTCCAGTTCACTAATGAAAAACCTGGCATCGTCCTTCCATGGTGAAGGTCTGAAAAGACCTTCCAAATCCCAAAAGGAGAACTTGGCAGACACCAAATATAACTATGAAAAGACCCAATGCCCTGAGAGAAATATTTCTTGAGCAGGCACAGATATCTAAGTAGAAACTTGGAGCTTCAGGTTCTATTGGTGTCTAATCGAATCCGTGAGAGGCTGAGTATGTCAGCAGCTCTAGTTCCTTGGTACTTAAAATGTTGTGTCCCCTAGAATTGCCTGGAAAGTGAAAAGACAGAATGCTATGAAGCTGGAAGCAATGCATCGGGCTAACATTATAAAATTGAGAAGTGATCAAAAATGCTGATATTTACTTTGTAGCTACCATGAAAGGGAAATTTGTGGAAAGCGAAACTGCACCATGATTCAATAAGAGACACGGCTAGTCTCCATAATAAAAACCCATCAATGCCCCGAGGCAGAGGACATTTTCTGTGAAGACACAGTTTTTCTAAATATTCTAGCAATTGATGGAATATATTTCGATGTAATGTACCTTTCTTTCAGGACTTGCTTGTACTTTCAGAGTTTTCTTTATGTCACCTTTGTCTCCAGGAATAAAACTCACATAACTTGGCTCAAGTCACCCACTGAAAGGCAAAAACGAAGCAAAACAAAATCACCCACCTCCCAAAAAGCCAAACCCATAAATCTCTTAGAAAAGGTTCCCTCTGGAAACCAAAAGTAAGGAATATAAAATAGAATAGATTCAAAACCAATGCATTTTTCAGACACAGAAGTGCACCTTTGTTCCGGCCACATGAAAGAAAAGCAGACCTTTGTTTAATGGTTAACAATTTTTGGCAGCTACTACCTTTTAAACTATTCCAGGGCCAAGATGACTATCTGGAGGGACAAATTACAGATCATTTGGACAGGAGATTATGCCATGTTGACCTGCTCTAAAGTTTGAGTTGAAAGTTTGATTATATTCTTGTTGTGCAGGCTACATTTGCTTGAGCCTTTGTTATCTGTAGTCAGTGGTAATAGAGCAAGCAAAAACATTTGTGCCAATGTTGAGAAACTGCTCAGCAGCTGCAGGGATCCATGTAACACAGCACTAAGGTTTCAATTATAGAAAAATTGTGTTCCAAGCGGAAATCCAAACCGAACCACTCATTTAAAAAAATTAAAACAGAAAACAATAGGCTGCTGATCTTCAAATATAAAAGTTAATTTCTTGATTTATGTTTCATTCAAATATGAATTAAACTGAATTTTAAAAAGATGAGAGGAACAGTGGAATCAATTGAAAATAAAATCATGTCTATTTACTAACTAAAGTGAAAGAAAAATCTGGCATACACAAAAAATCTTGTTAACCAAAATTTCATTTGACTGAAGTCCCTAATGCAATGCACACACACACACACACACACACACACACACACACACACACACACACACACATCTACGTCTTGATAGTGCATTTTATGCACTCTACATTTCTACTGAGGCCTGATGATGGACAATCCTTTTTGGGAATAATGCCAGGTGAATGAAGCAAGTCCATCTGATCTGTCGGGTAGTGAAAAAGGAATCCCTTCGTATGCCCCCACCACTGCATTTGTCCTCTCCTTGCTACCCTGAGCTAGTAGTGCCAAGCCATGCATTCCCTACCAACAGCATCCTTTGGCAGGATTGTCCAATATTAACAGGCATCTTTTAAGTGTTTTGATCTGTGGGTTAGACGATACGCCAACTCAGTACTCCTAATATCTGCCTTATAATCTTCAACTGCTGTTGTATAATAAAACTATAATTTGGAATAGATAAACCGTAGCTTGAGCAAAATATGAGCTAACTTCAAACCATTTTTAAAAATTGAGTGGAACCACAATCATATGAAGAAAGTAGAACCTCAGACTTTTTATCTTCTATTTCATGTCATGAGCAACTTTAAACAAAGACAACTCTTTTTAAAGATATTTTTGAGTCAACTAGAGACATTGGACATTCAATATTCGAGAACATTGGGAATTTTTGTTATGTGCAATTACACTGTATTTATTTATAAACTTCTTCAAAGGAATCTGTATTTATATTTATTGGCAAAATGAAATAAAATATGAGATTTACTTGTCTCTCTCTCCCTCTTTTTTGTTGCAGTGATGGAGATGGAACGCAAGGTTTTGTACATGCTGGGTAAGTGCTCTACCACTGACCTAGGCCCTCAAACTGAGATTTGCTTTAAAGGATTCCAGTAACAAATAAAAAACTGAGGTGTTGATTGATGAAAAAAATATTGATAGTTATTAAAACTTGTTGATCAGCTAATACCAATTTATTATACCGTTCTTGCTACTTCTGTAGAAATTTTATAGATGCTAGGAAAGAAATACAAAGAATAGTAAGAGAGGTTATTGCTAGATTAAACAACAAAGTTATAGGAAGCAATGTAAGATAGTTTAGGGCATTAAAAATAAAGGAAGCACAATGAAATGCAATTGTACAGAATGGCTAGAACAAAAAGAAGAAAATCTGAGAGTATTTACTGACAAGTATGCAGAGCAACTGGAACTCTCTGGTGAGAATGCAGAATAGTAGGGCCTATTTGAAAAGAGTTTTTCTTATGAATTTAAACATAAAATTATAATACTGAACGATGGTGCACCTTCTAGATACTTACTCAGAGGAAATTAAAATTTACATTTGCACAATAAAACAGCTATGATCTGATGTCAGAAAAGATATCCTTGAGTGTTTCTTAGTAGGTGGAAGGATTAACTACATAGGCTCAACATAAGTGAGTTTTTTAAGGGCAATGAAATTGCTGTACCTTGACTGTGCTGTTTAAATAACAACATGTGTTTGTCAAAAATTCAGAGCAATACACACAAAAAAGAATTTCCCTGTGTATAAATGATGCCTCTACATTTTATTAAAAATTAACATAGAAATTTTCAATGTACTCCTGAAACCATACTGCGATTGATAGAAACTATAATGTCCTTATATAGCATAGTACTTTTTCCTTTTCTTATACTTTCATTTCATTTTCTTATACAAATGAACTATACTTTCATGATAGTTCATTTTCTGTTATTGTAATGAAATGCCTGAGGCATTTCAAGAAGTCACATTTAATGATGACCTTCCTGCTGGAAGGGACACAAAGCAACACTGGGAATTACATGGCAAGATGAAGAGAGCATCTCTCTTTTCGTTTCTCTCACTCTTCTTATAAAGACATCCACATTGAATCATGGAGGATGCACCCTTGACCATGTCTAATCCTAATCATGTCCCAAAGGTCTCATATTTAAACACCATAAACAGATTAAGATTCTACCCTCTCAATACCTCACAGTGAGGATTAAGTGTCAACACATGAACACCTAAGGGACACGTGTAAATCATATCCAAATCATAGAGCCTTTCTTCCCCTCTTCTTTACACACTCTCCCTTTCTTCCTGTCTTCTTGCCTCCTTTACATCTTCCCCTTCTTCCTTAAGTAATTTTTTTCTCTATTCCTGTTTTAAAATTATAGGACTACGGGATTAATTATATAAAATTTATGTCTGTATTGCAGTGGGAAAGGGTGATTTTCAAGGCAGTATTGTTGGCCTCACCTAGTAGCCTTACCTGAAAGGAATCACCACTTCCTAGGTGTCTCAAAGTTGGCCCTATATTAAACCCACTTGGGAACTAAAACAATCAAATGAAGTACTGATACCCAGACTCTAACTCCTGAGAGATTCTGTTTTAATTGATCTAAGGGGAACCCAGTGATCATACATATTTCTTAAAAGCACCCTAGGTGATTGTAATGTGAAGCTAGGACTAAGAACCCAAATAAATGGGATCAAGAAAGACTAAATACTTATAATAGGCAGACTTTATTCTAGGTAATATACTTTCCAATTACAGGAAAATTTTATTGAAATGAACTTCTAATTCAACGGGTTTGGGGCAGAGCCTGAGACTGCATTTCTAATACATATCTATGAGATGATGTCATGATGCAGATTCTCAGGAATTGGCTTTGAGTTGCAGGCACTAAACCAGTTGTCTTAGTTACTTTCTTCATTGCTGGGGCAAAATAGCAAATACTTATAAGTTAAAGGAGGAGAGGTTTATTTTAGCTCACAGTTTGTGGAGGTTCTAGTCCATAGTCAGCTGGCTCCAAAGCAGGGTGGCATGACAGAGGGGTTTTGTAGAAGAGTAACAGTCCATGGCAGGGCAGGCATGAGGCAGCACAGGAACAGCAGTAAGTCTCCCTTTCCTTTAAATTCCATTCAGACTACAAGCCTATTGGTTGGTGCCACCCACAGTCAGGGTGGGCTTTCCCATTTTTCATACCCAGAACTATGCTAAGCAAATTAGTGGACTAATTTACTTTTCACACATCCTTAATCCATATTTACACAGCTTAGATCCAACCATCTTTGTAAAGTCCCTCTCATGAGTGCATGAAGCTTTGAGGGAACATCTAGTTATTAGCCATGGCACCAGTATTTCCTAAACTTGAGAGTGAGAAACATTTGGGAAGCATGTTCAGTATAGAGATGTTCAGCCTGCTTCCCTGGAAATTCTACTTTACCACACCTGATTTAGAGCATATAATATGTCTTTTAGCAAGAGACATAGTGACTAATCTTTAGAATACTTAATAAATATTAGAATGCCATCTTATTTTTTTTGCAATAAACCATTTCCTCTCTTTGGCACTGTGATAAATATCTGAGTTTTGCTTTTAATTTTTCTTTTAAATTGACCATATCAAAGAAACATGTTCATAGAAAACAACTTGTACATAAATGTTCATGGCAGCATTATTCATAAAAACCAAAAGGTGGAAGCAGTCTAAGTGCATATTAACTGATAAATGGGTGGACAAAATGTGGCTCATATACACACTGGAATATTATTTGTGTATGAGGAGAAATGTGGTGGTGATTCATGCTACAAAATGCAGGAACCTCAAAGAAAAAGGAGTTTATCACAGAAAACCACATATTGTATGAGTCCATTTGTATGAAATGTCCTGAATAGGAAAATCTACACCATAGAAAATAGATTAGTGGTTGCCAGGGTTTGGAGAGAGAAGAGAATGGCATATAACTTCTTAAAGAGTACAAAGTTTCTTATAGGGGTGATGAAATTAGATTAGTGTCCTGCAATTAGATAGTTGTGATGGTTGAATAAGTCTGTTAGTATACTAAAAATCACTGAATTTTTCTTTTTAAAATGGGTGAGTTTTACAGTTTATGAATGATATTTCAAATTAAATGAAAAGGTTGATGGTCCCCCATAAAAAAGGAACAATTTTTTTATGTATATTTCTGTAGATCAGGCACCAGTAAGGTTTTTATCTTTCACATGACTCATATATGTAATTGGTCTTGGCCTAATGTGTTGATTTTATCATTCTAACTATTGTGATTGTGAGTATAATTTGTCCTTACTTCTATCAGTTACCTTTAACAATAGCAGTTGTTTGTCACTTTCTATGAAAATATAAATGATTGATAACCTCCATGGGCAGGAGTCAATTGCAATGAACTTTGTATCTTGACACCAGGCTTGTAGAAGGATTTTAATTCATTTATGTTTCCTGAAGAAATGTTTCTTTGTGATTAGACTCAACTCTAGGTTAAAGAGATTATCAAGCTTCCTTCCTTCAGTCATTCAGTTCTGTCATTAAAAGAATTTTACCTGCATCTTCCTCCAGTTTGGATTAAGCAGCCTACATCACAACTGAAAATTTAATCTTAAATTCTCTACTAGTCACATGCAACTCTCTATGAATTCCTTCCAGCTAAATATTCCGTCACTCTTTTGTTCATTAAAAGAAATGTATTCCAGCAGCTCCGCTTTGTAAACAACTTTGCAGTAAAAAACAAGTGTTCCCATTCAATGAATGAAAACCATTTCAGACAGGAAATAGGCTTCAGGTTCCAAATTCGGTGCCTATGTTCCTACAAGGAACTTGATTAGGAAAATATTGCAATGGGAATTGCAAGGCCTTTGCTCTAAATAATTAACTGAAGACTTTTCTGTTCCTTCAAAATTGAATGACATAATGAATTTCAAAACTCTTTTCTGTAGTTAGGAAAGGATTTCTACACAAGCTACTTGAGTAAAAAAAGAAAAAAATTAAATGTTATGCTTCATTTGGGGGGTTATAAAAGATTTTGAAACTACTAGGGTCCACTGAATACTTTTTCAATCTGCTTATGGTAGTGATAGTACAAGTTTGAAATAAGAAACTGTGGGTGCTAATCCCATTTCTTTTGCTTTCCTGCTATGTAACATTGGGAATTTAAGAGAATAATGTTGCCTACCTGGATAAATCAGTGTGAATTTTAATAGATAATAAGAAGAAACACATTGCAGGAGGGTTGATAACATCAGATAAAATCAATCAAACTAGAACTGAGCTAATTGAGCTTTTGCATTATATGCAAACAACCATACTAGTAGTGATGTCACCTTAAAGGATCCTTACTGTCCCTCTCCTCACAGAGAATACACTCTAGTGAGGAAACACATATAATTTGTGAGTCAAGAGAACAGGACTTTTCTTCCTCCTGGTCTTCATTCAACTATCTATGTGAATGAGTGCAGTGAGATTTTGTATGATCATTCTCAAGGATATTTACAAGTAAGCAAGAACATTTAAAAATAAACATTGTTGTGACTGGGCAATCAAAGAATACTAATTAATAAAGCCAGTGAATGACTATTCCACGTGAAAGTGAATGTGAAATTGAAACAAGCGAAGAGGTTCCATGGACTGTGTGCAGGAATTATTCCCTAGGTGGTGAACCAGCCTTGGCTACAGACTTGATACTGAGATCCTGCCCTATCTTAGAGATTTCCTTTGCAACTTTTGGTCTTCTTAATTTCATCAGCCCGTCTGCTGTATGGAAATGCTAGATGGTAACTCAGTGAGTTTCATAAATTTAACCACAAAGTGTGTCAGCATTTTTCAGGATTTTTTTTTTGTTTTGTTTTACAAAGAGAAATCTGGAAATTCACTTTCCTCTCTCAGCCAAGAAATTAGAGTGGGAAGTTTTGATGTAGATCAAAGAAGTACTGCTGGTCTGACTCAATTTTTATTAAACCAAAACTTTGAAGCATAAAGTTGACTAATGTGTTTCTAAAGCTCTTTTACTCTTATTCTCCTACATGTCTAGTTAC